GTAATGAAACAAGGTGTATGATTTGTTGAATGTAAAACTGATGATCTGCCCTGTAAACTTTCATTCAATCCACAATAAAAACCTTAAAAAAAAAAAAAAAAAAGCAGGAAAAGGAAGAAAGACCAAAATGTAAGTCAGAAGATGCTCTGAAACTTGCTTTTCAGTGTAGAGATGCTGAAGAAAATAGAAGAAATCAGGCCGTCAAAGATCTGAAAAGAAAATTTCAGCAGGCAACTAAAGAAGATGAAGTCAAATACTATAATGAAATATGCAAAGATCTGGAGTTAGAAAACCAGAAGGAAAGAACATGCTCAGCAGTTCTCAAACTGAAGGAACTAAAGAGAAAATTCAAGCCTTGACTTGCAATATTGAAGGACTCCATGGGCAAAATATTGAATGATATAGAAAACATCTGAAGAAGATGGAAGGCATATAGAACCACTGTACCAGAAAGAAATGGTCATTCAACCATTTCAAGAGGTAGCGTATGATCAAGAACTGTTGATACTGAAGGAATAAGTGCAAGCTACACTGAAGGTATTGGCAAAAACAAGACTCCAGGAATTGACAATACGAACTGAAATCTTTGTTAACAAACTGATACAGCAGTAAACTGATAACTATGCCAAGAAAGCTGGAAGACAGCCGCCTGATCAACCAATTGGAAGAGGTCCATATCTGTGCCTATTCCAAAGAGAAGTGACCCAACAGAATGCGGAAATCAGCTAACAATATCATTTATATCACATGCAAGTAAAATTGTGAAGATAATTAAAAGACAGCTTCAATGGTACATTACCAGGTAACTTCCAGAGGTTCAAGCTGGATTCGCAAGAGGATGTGGAACTAAGGATATCATTGGTGACATCAGATGGATGTTGGCTGAAAGCAGAGAATACCACAAAGGTGTTTACCTTTGCTTTATTGACTATGCACAGGCTCTTGATTGTGTGGATCTTGACAAGCTATGGATAACATTGCAAACACTGGGTATTCTAGAACACTTGTGCTCATGAGGAATCTGCACATACATCAAGAGGCAGTTATTGAAACAGAACACAAGTGGTAACTGAATAGTTTAAAATCAGGAAATGTATGGTACTTATTCAATCTGTATAATCAGATAATCCTAGAAGCTGAATTATATGAAGAAGACCATGGCTTCAGAATTAGAGGAGTGCTCATTTACATCCTGTGATATGCAGATGACACAACTTTGTTTGCTGAAAGTGACGAGAACTCAAAA